ACGAGTCTGTGTTATTACCATACTTTTATGATAACGAAGCATTGTGTAAGGACGAATTTATGAGGGGTTAGAAAGTGGCACATTCACACAGTTAAAAAACACGGGAGGGATAAGTTTGTACCAACAAGATCAAACTCATTTTGTAGGTAACTACGACTAACTAGGTCACATGAACTACCTTATTTGTAGCGAGAGTGGGAGAAGTGACACAAATCAAACCTACCTTTACAACCTATCCTTAAAGCAGTAGACGTTATACAACAACCTGATATGATGCTAAGTTTGCAATATAAGATCATAACAATATCGTTATGATAGAAAGCGGGGACTTGTTCGGAAAGGAAAGGACACTGCAAAATACCATAAATATCAAAATGGACCAGTTTTTTTTTTTATATATCAAGATCAAATCAAGGTTCATAGCTAACCGTTCAAATTCTAACAGGAAAAAAATGTCAAATTGTCAGGCTTATATCTTTAGAAACTCAAATTGAACTATGTCCACTAGACAATAATAATTCCGCGTGTGTTATCTTACTGAACAGATGATAAGTAAAGAGTATGCAGAGGTGAAGATTGTGTGAAGACGTAAGTCAAGGTCAAGGTTAGTGACAATATTAATTTATATCTACACCTACACTGGTATCCAATCCATTAAAAGTAACATATTGTAAGCTTTAATATCTATAGACAAGAAATTCATATCGAGAACAGAAACATTGAGTGGTGGAGAAAAATGAACTTCTAATAGGTGTATCTAAAGTGCTATCTTACTGAAACATCATGACCTATACAGGATCCAGTCATTTCACCGGGTAACAAATAATATTATTTAACCTAATGATATATTTCCATTCATTTATCCAGGTAAGTCCTGGTCGCTTAGTAAAAATGTAAAAATATAATTGTAAAAATAACATTTTTCATGTTTTGAGCAAAATTGCAGATAATAAAAATAAGATAATACATCGTTATGAAGAAAGCAAATATTCAGATGCTGCTTCCTCATGGTGTTTCCTTGTGTATAGCTCTGTTTGTACTTTATAGTGAAGTGTTCAATGTTTAATTGTGATTAATATTGAATTTTTTGTTCTAATTACTATATTTTGACGTTTTTCATTGTAATTTATACATATTGTGTTGTTTGTGATTGTCATCAATAAGACTAGGCGTGAGAGTGTTTACTTCTCAGTGATTTAATTTTAGTCTCAGCTTCTCACAGTTATTTATCTAAAGAGTTCATTTCTCATGTTTTTTTTTTCATTTTTAATGTTTACTTTCAATAAATCTTTATCAAGAGTATTTACTTCCCATAGTTCTTTATCAAGAGTGTTTACTTCCCATATTTCTTTATCAAGAGTGTTTATAGTGTTTACTTCCTATAGTTATTTATAAAGACTGTTTACTTCCCATAGTTCTTTATCAAGAGTGTTTACTTCCAGTAATTCTTTATCAAGAGTGTTTACTTCCCATATTTCTTTATCAAGAGTGTTTACTTCCTATAGTTATTTATAAAGACTGTTTACTTCCCATAGTTCTTTATCAAGAGTGTTTACTTCCCAAAATTCTTCATCAAAACTGTTTACTTCCAATAGTTCTTTATCAAGTGTGTTTACTTCCCATAGTTCTTTATCAAGAGTGTTTACTTCCTATAGTTATTTATAAAGAGTGTTTACTTCCCATAGTTCTTTATCAAGAGTGTTTACTTCCTATAGTTATTTATAAAGAGTGTTTACTTCCCATATTTCTTTATCAAGAGTGTTTACTTCCAATAGTTCTTTATCAAGAGTGTTTACTTCCCATAGTTCTTTATCAAGAGTGTTTACTTCCCATAGTTCTTTATCAAGAGTGTTTACTTCCCATAGTTCTTTATCAAGAGTGTTTACTTCCCATAGTTCTTTATCAAGAGTGTTTACTTCCCATAGTTCTTTATCAAGAGTGTTTACTTCCCATAGTTCTTTATCAAGAGTGTTTACTTCCCATAATTCTTTATCAAGAGTGTTCACTTCCCATAATTCTTTATCAAGAGTGTTTACTTCCCATAGTTCTTTATCAAGAGTGTTTACTTCCCATAGTTCTTTATCAAGAGTGTTTACTTCCCATAGTTCTTTATCAAGAGTGTTTACTTCCCATAGTTCTTTATCAAGAGTGTTTACTTCCCATAATTCTTTATCAAGAGTGTTTACTTCCCATAGTTCTTTATCAAGAGTGTTTACTTCCCATAGTTCTTTATCAAGAGTGTTTACTTCCCATAGTTCTTTATCAAGAGTGTTTACTTCGCATAATTCTTTATCAAGAGTGTTTACTTCCCATAGTTCTTTATCAAGAGTGTTTACTTCCCATAGTTCTTTATCAAGAGTGTTTACTTCCCATAGTTCTTTATCAAGAGTGTTTACTTCCTATAGTTCTTTATCAAGAGTGTTTACTTCCCATAATTCTTTATCAAGAGTGTTTACTTCCCATAGTTCTTTATCAAGAGTGTTTACTTCCCATAATTCTTTATCAAGAGTGTTTACTTCCCATAATTCTTTATCAAGAGTGTTTACTACTCATCATTGTTCTTTCTGTTTGTGTGTTTGAAATCTACTTTATATAATTGTTTCGGATTAATTGTGTGAACTGGTAGAAATACACTGCGAATAGTTGAAAATATTCAGTTTTGTTTAATTATTATTTCTATTTGTTTATCTATATTGTTTATTTATTATTTTTTAAATTATTATTGATTATTTTTTAACTATTGTTAATTTTTGTTTAGTTATTATTTATTTTTATTTGATAACTATTAATCATTGTTTAATTATCTTTTTTTAATATCAAAACTAGTTTTGTTTAATAATTATTTCATTTTGTGTATAAATCTGACTGTACGTTTGTTTGTATAAAATTTAATTTCTTGTAAATATATTATAATTTGTAAAGATATTATACTTGTTAATAAACTCTATTTTGTATAGAGTCGAACTTTGTTATTTCGAAATCGGCGGGACAACTGGGGAACTCTGAATCATCCGAGTATTCAATTTAAGTGATTTCGAAAGTTTAGTAAAAAGTTTGACATGGACAAACGAAATATTTCGAATTGAATGGTGATTTCGAGATACACGAGTTCGAGATAACGAGATTCGACTGTATATAAATCATATAGCACTTACGTATGTGTGTAGAGAATGTTGATTTCTATGTTACAGTACCCTACACACTAATTTATACAATCGCTACATTAGTAAAATCACATTTACATTATTTTTGACATCAAAACTACCTTCCTGTAATCCTGTTGATTGTTGAACGGTGTTAGGCACAGTCTATTGAGCATTCTGAAGGCAGACGGTGATTACAATTCGATGCAAAAAAATCCACACATACGAAAATATTGTTATCCTTGTCTCAAGTTTGTGTAACTGTAGCCCTAGTCGGGCAGATGGACCAAACTTCCGTTGTAAGACATGTACACAAAATGACAAATTAACACTCTTTACAAGCGTATGGCATATCTGACAACGTAATAATTGGATAATAACCACAGATAACAGAGGTCGACCTTACTTATATAATTACACCATTATACTTAATGACATTTGTCGTAGCTACAAATTCAATAACTTAGTTAGCAATGTCTGTGTACCAAATTTATGTCAACCTTACTGTTAACCAGGGCTCAAAAACACCCGAAATGTCATCGTGTTGCCAAACATTAATCTCCTAAGAAAGATCATGCCCAGAAATTGAGGATACGATTATAACGTGGGTATCCCGTTCTTCGTTATATGACAAGGAAACAAGTTGACGGGCCCAGATACCGTTTGTTTAGACCAATTCAATGCGAGTTAGGAGAAATGGACAAGGACATGAACTTGGTACAAGGTCTGAACTGCGAGTCAGGAGAAATGGACAAGGACATGAGCTTATCCAGGTATCAAACCTAGTACTACCAAATACATAACAATCAGTTCATATATACATATGGATCTAAATCTTTCCCATGTTATAATTGAAGACGAACTTCCAAGTGATATGACTCACGTTGTAGAATGAAAATAAAATATATTAAGTATCACGCCTTCATTTCAAACGTCAATTACACAAAGTATGATCACCATTCATATTTGTGGACAAAATTGGTTTCAATCCCCTCGCCAGTTTGATTATTAATGATAAGATTTCATCCAATCAGACAACTAGTTAAAAGTATCCGCTCGCCAGTATTATTATTAATGATAAGATTTCATCCAATCAGACAACTAGTTAACAGTATCGGTCAACACTTTTGGAATTACGGAACGTTATTAGTTAATTTATGCACCATATGGTCACTTTTCCCTGGAATGTTTCCTACCATTAAAGTCTGTAATGCGGCTAAGGGGACAAGTAAAAATATCCCGTAAATAAGGCCAATCTCATGACCTGTCCCTCCTTTAGCCAGGTTCGTCTCGACTTGAATGATACAACAGTAAGAACAAAACTCCATTTATATAACCTTTAGTGATAGCGGAGAATGTCAAATAAGTGTTGCCTTCTTGTACCCTACGTACCACCAAGCTCTCAACCTATGATGTTTCATACAATATTAAAATTCGATTTTGTACTTGGGTTCAATGCTATATTTTGTTAATATTCATCTGACCTTCATCAGTGGTGGTCTTTTGAAGGTTAAAATTCACCACTTCCGCCTAGCTGACCCGCGTCTGATTCCGTAGGGATCACTTCTGTCCTTTGAAAACGTGTGATTCTATAAAGTTTGATGAAATGTAAAACATAAATACTGCTGAACAGAAGATGGATGATCATCAAAGAACATGGCAGCAGGTCAGTGATATTTTGGCAATATCAGCAAATAAAATCGTCAACTGTTCCCTTTCGAAAGTGATTTAACTTATAGTTGGTTTGTCCTTTTCAAGTTAGATTGTCATGACAGTTGCAGTCTTTCAGACACCAATTTATTCGATGTTTTTCTTATAAGGAAATTGCTAGATTGTGATTGTGAAGTGAGATAGTGGTCACGGCTTGCTCCATTGGGTTGTATGTCGCTCATTCAGTTCCACGATTCGTTGAGACAGAGAAACACCATCGTACTCTTCATCAGACTCCGGGGAAATAAACAGAGCCAGTTCTTCCTGTCCTGATGTATGCTCTTTCATACGCTGGTCAGTGTTAGCCGCGACCTTAGATCGAACTACAAACGGAACGCTCTCTGCTTCGTCAATACCAACAGATGACGTCATGGTATCAAATCCACTGTCTGTCTGACCTGAAACTGATTCACAGAGGGCGATTTGTGGGTGAACAGAGTAACCGCCGACCCTGATACAGGTTTGTGTTGAACGTCTTGAATCTAAAGGTTGAACGCCTTGGTGGGAGGACGCGTTATGACGCACGCAGCCGTTGTCAAAGCAAGACGTTCCACGTCGAACGATATCTCTGTATACATACGCCGGTCTACCGACACTTGGCGCTCGATAAGCACATTGGTACGTAGTAGAATCTACTGCGATCGCCTCTGGTTGGTTTGGTTTACTCCTACTGTACGGTGTCGTAGATTGGTTACCTTTAGTGTGTAACAGTTCTTGTATGGCAGCCAGGAGTAGTCTAGTCTGGACACATCCGATCAGAGAACTGTGTGACAAGGTGACTGGGGGACTGACATGTCCACTACACAATGACACAAATAACTGTTCTAGATCCGTCGATCGTAACTGACATTTGTGTTGGTCAAAGTCGTCAACGACAGAGTACAATTGTCCAAGATTTGGCAGCAACTCTAGAAACCGAGCACACAGACCCGAATACACACACACCAGCATGACAGGAGGAAGATGCTCGTAGGTCACCTGATCAATCTCCATTAACAAATTTAATAAAGGTAAATCGAGTTTCAAACCGGATGTTTTTGAAATATCCAAGCCTCGTTTAATTTTGTCCACACCGTCCAGTAGCTCATCTGATAATAAGATCAGTAATATGTAAGCTTGTTGACCATTTCGCCATTTTTGTATGTACGCCTGTGTTTTGAACTCGGAGCAAGATTCATCTATAGTAAGAACCTGCGATTTCGATTTGATAAACTTGGCGAATAATTTGGAAACTTTTTCCACTATGACGTTCCGTTGGGAGCATAATACAGCGACTGTGGTGGTCTCCGGATCGCTCATAGCTGAAACAATAGTCAAGAACATAAACAGTACGGATATGTAATCCAAAGTATTGTACAAAAACATAAAGCCTTTTTATACCTCAAGTATTAGATATGTTTGGAGTAAATAATAAATACAAAAATAAACAATGGTTAAATCCTACAGAGGTATACCGGAGTGTAGGAAATGTGATAAACGCTGAGAACCTGAGTGGTATTCAACGTACGGGAAATGTAATGAGAATTTATCCGGAAAACAACAATAATCGTGTCACATCCCTTAGCAGGGGTATACCGATTCGGGGTAAACAAATATTCCTGATACCAGAAAACCTGAAACGGACCAAACACGACCCCGCAAACACAAATTGGATCAAAGAATCCAATGTTCCCTTGTCGGTCGAGGATGGGATTATAAAGAGAGCTTTAGAGGAGGGAGAATGCGAAATTATTCAAATGTAATGAGAGAAGCTAAGGATTGATTGTGACACAGGGGATATAACATTATTAAAAAACCCTTCAAAATCACCTGCTGAAAAAAATGATCATGGGAAGGTACTATGGTACTATCTGTTAGTATGGACAACCACGTGGTCAACAAAACGATATACACAATAATGACAAAGATAAAAGATGAAAACTGAGGATTCAGACGGTAGTAAATCAGATGCTGGGTGACAATAAAACACAAAATGATGATGAAAAACAAAATAAGGAAACACAAACTGAGGATGGCATTACGAGGAAAGACTCAAAAAGAAAAAGGGAAAAAGACAAAAGACACTACACACAAAGAGACCAGAATGACAAGATAAAAAGAATGACAATCTACAAGTAGAGTACGACTCTAGGTTTTGACACAAACAAGTAATATTTCAATCAAAATGCCAGCTAAATATGTAATTCACATTCTTTCCTTACAACCCAAGGGACTGCAGGACAAAGGAAAGAGGTTACGTTTATATCAGTGGATGAAAAATCAAAACTTTGTTATTTGTTTTTTACAGGAGAAACATTTTACAGGGAATTTTTAGATATAAGCTATTGGATGTTATAGCTCATAACAGTCTTGGGTAACAAAATAATTAAGGGGTCAGTATCATTGTGAATAATTAAATGCAAATGTTGTAAATGTTTAAAAAGAAACAACGGAAGGTTTATTTTTTAAATATTGAAGTAGAAGACAAAACACTAACAGTTGAAAATATCTCAGCTCCTAATTTTTCAACAAGAAAGACATTTTTTTTTTCAAATCTTCATTACATGATATCAAATAAAATGGTACAGGTATGAACACAGTAGGAGGAAACTTCAGTGAGGTCCTAGATGGTCGTGATTGAAAAAGTAAGACATAAATTAGGAACACAAACTACAGCTTAAAACATTTTCTAAAATCCCTAAGACGTGTGAATATATGGAGGATAAAAAAAGAACAAAATCACAGCACTCTTGGAGACGTAACAGACAAGGGGAAGCGAGCAGGATCGATTATTTTCTTATTGAAAATGTAATGAATAATTTAGTTAAATCTTCAAATATCCGACCGGCTCAAATAAGATGTACGGGCTACCAGGCGTTATCAAGAACATTATTTGCAGCTAGTGTAAAAGGGTTTGGAACATGGAAAATTGATAACAGCATGTTGCAGGAAACAGAATATAAGAAAAACATAAAAAATACATTCAAGCAGCAAAACAATATGTTATGATAATAGACAAATATGGAATTACCGTAAAGTGTTGATAAAAAATGAAACAATAAAACAAAGTATATCGAAATCGCAACTACAGAAATCAAAAGTAGCATAGCTTGCAGAACGTCTTCCAGAAATAAACAAACAGAAGAAGCTAAAAGTATTGAAAACGACATATAAAACCTCCATGAACAAAAAGCAAAAGGAGCGCAGGTACGATCAAGAATCAGATGGGTAGATGGACAGAAAAATACTAAATTCTTTTCAGACCTAGAAAAGTAGGTAATCCAGGACATAGATGGACTTGACAATAACAACGGTGATTTAATACAATGCCCAAAAATAGATACTCAAAACAATTAAACACGTCTATGAAAATGTAAATAGAAGTAGAATAACACAGCCATATCCTGATAAAGCAAACTCTTGTGACGGTAAACTAACAGAAAATCAATGTTTAAATGTTTTCCATAATATGTAGAAAACTGTAAGTCCTTGAACAGAAGGACTGTCGGTAGAATTTTATCAAACATTGTGGAAACATAGAGAAAACTTAGATGTTAATTATAATCGTATGATCATGGTGAGTTAGGCGAATCACAAAGATATGGATTGGTTTTTCTTATTGATAAAAAAAGGAAATATTACAAAATTAGAAAATTGGCGTTCGATATCATTACTAAATATTGACTATAAAATTGCTGCATATGCTTTAGCAATAAGGTTGAAATTAGTTATGTCAAAAAATATTCATACAGATCAAAACGGAAATATAAGAAATCAATGTATTGGTTGTATTATTAGGCTAATTCACTATATTATTGATCACTCAGAAAAAATATCATTGACAGTTGCATTTTTTTTATTATCTCGAAAAAGCTTTTGATACTATAGAATGGAATGTATGCATGCCTATAAAATTGGATTCGGACAGTCATTTATTAATTGGATTAAAACATCTTACATGAATGTTAAAGGTTTTGTCAAAATAATAATTGGATTACCGAATAATACTCAATAACTCACGGAACTTGAAAGGGGTGTCCATTATCACGCTTAATTGCTGTAATTAAGGTAGAATTTTTAGCAACTAAAATAGGAGATGATAAGCACATCACTGGTTGCAAGATAAAATGGGGAAAGGCCAAAACATTACAATTAGCGAATGATACCGCTCTATTTCTAAAACAGAAAGATATCAAACATTCTATCAAGGTGGTTGAAATTGTCGGAAAACTGCCCGGTTTGAAATCAAATAAGAACAAAACAGAAGGGCTGTTGCTAGGATGCAATAAACGAAGACGTAATACATATGAAGGAATCAAGGGGAAACCTGGAATCCAATCATTAGGAGTATATTTCAGTACTAATACCAAGTCTACATGAATCTTAATTGGGACAAAGACAGAAATAGACGACTTATAAAAAAAATTGGATGAAGCGAAAATTAGCATTAGTTGGTAAAACGGTTATAATTCTATCACTGTTGATACCAAAAATAAGATATTGAGCAAACGTACAAACCATTGACAGTGATTAGAATAAAGCTTCTTCGAGTTTTTGTGGGATAAAATTAAAAACAAGAACGCTTAAAGACAACTAGATATAAGAGATAAAGGCAAGAAATCTAAAATCTCATATTGAAGTGATCAGAATTAAGTGGATGAGAAGATTAAATAACGAACAATTGGAAAATGATTACAAACAAACAACAACAACATTGTCATCAAAATCGAGGTTATTTAGGGTAATAGACCAATACAATTTACAGCACAGCTACCATCAATAGAGGTTGGGAAGATAGTAACTTTATTAAGATAGCTGATGAAATAAATGAGCAAGGAGACGTTGATTAAAATAGCATGTATGATAAACTAAACGAAAAGAGAGATTGGATAAGCGAAGTATATAAATTAAAAGGAGCTATACCAAACAGATGGAAAATTAAGTTAAGGTCAGAAAAGTCAAAGATATTGAGGTATTGACATTATACAATCCTAAATCAAGAACGTATACATCATTAGATATACATACTAACAAAAGCTTTTATAATGAGGCAGTGCAGTCAAAATTTATACCATCATATTGTTTGGAGTTTCGGAGTAGAAGTTTAACATAGATTTTGTAATTGACTTATACCTTTTTTATTTAATAAGCTAGAGGAAAAGCAGCACAAAATTTTTAAAGTGTAAATTGCAGGACTGCATTATTCCAAGTATATACCAACTCCATCAATAGAAAATAGAGAAACAACCTTTGTAATGTATATGGTGAAGTAGAAGATTACGGACATTATTTTATAGAATGTTAATACTTCAAAAGATTTTGGAATACAATGAAAGATATTATTAAAGGCTTCAGATTTACATTTTTTAAATAACGTATTTATCTTCTAGTTACTTTTTCCTTTTCGTTTCGTTCCTTCTACACAATCCAGTCCTGTCTGTCTGTCTGTCTGTCTGCCTGCCTCCCTCTTTGTCTCTATCTCTGTATCTCCGTTTCCCTCCCCTATAATTACCTGCCCACTCGTTTTATCCCATGTGTTATTTGTCATACATTGATATAGTTTGAAAACAAATCTATTATATATATACATAACGTGTCATAAAAATAACAAGTTCATTCTGAGTGCAAAAAATAAAGAAAGAAAAAGATGGAAAGACAAAAATAAATAAATAAATAAATAAAAATGTGACATGCAGACAAAACTTCACCCAGAAGACGAAGGGATGGGCTCTTTCAATACAAATCAGGGTACATTATACTCTAAACCCTTGATGTCCGCGACATGTAAACAAATATAGAAATGCGCTTTAGCGCTAATCAATTTCTTAAATATTACTTATCCTCAAATTCAAGTACCGACGAAAGAATATTTTTTGTCACGAAATATGACCACGGAAAAATGACAAATCTGATGGATTCCCACAATGATATTCCACACTACACTTGGTTTAAATTCATTCAAGCATTAAGGAAGGACAGTATTTGGAAGCAAATGCTTGACTATCCTCCTCATTCGGGGTCCCGCCCCAAAGTCCCTAGGAGTCAAATCAAGTTTCTGAATGTAAAAAAAAAATGATTCTCCACTATAAATGATGTTTCACAGCAAATTTGGTTTAAATTCATTAAAGCATTAAGAAAGGGGAGAATTTTGAAGCAAAATATTGATTATCTTTCCCATTTGGGCCCCCGCCCCAGGTCCCTAGGACTCAAATCAAGTTTTTTGGACTTAAGAAACGATTCCCCATCTTCAATGATGCTTCAGACCAAATTGTGAAGCAAAAAATATTGCTTACTTCCCCTTTTGCGTCTCGCCCTGAAGTCCCTAGGCGTCGAATTAAATTTCTGAATTCAACAATTATTTGCAAACCTCTACTGATGTTGCTGACAAAATCTGAATAAAACATATTGCAGCATTAAAGAAAAGAAGCATTTTCAAGCAGATTATGTCGTTTATCATTTTTAGATGGTACAACATCAATCATACTGATACATACTCACCGTGTTTAGATAGTCACACACAAATTACACTGATACATACTCACCGTGTTTAGATAGTCACACACAAATCACACTGACACATACTCACCGTTGGATATTTTCTCCTGGTGATTGTTCGGTGTGTCGTTTGTTAGTTTCTCGTTAGTTTGACTCTTTGGCACTCCTCTAAACATCTGGAATTTCCCTTTAATATGTATCATGTCATATATCAGTTGTATTGATTGAAAAATAATATCAAGCATATTTTTGTTTTACATTTGTAACGTCTTAAATGAAGTGTTAAGTATCTTATATTTTGTGTTTGTTAAGTTACGTGTGAAATTGATAAAACGATATTTTTTTATCGATTTTCAATTCACATCTATCAACAGTTTGCCATTTTGTGACTGCCATCTGGATGGTGTTACTAAGTCTGTCCTCGAAAACACAAAGTATGAAATATGTGGACATTGGCTCATCTAATTGATTTCTTAGTGACACGAAATGCATTTCTTTATTTAAAGATTACTCATTTGAAGACTTGTGTCCAAGATATAGGATGGAAACTCAAATGCGCGTCAAGTGTCCACCAATTGGTTTTTAAAATCCACAAATATATTTCAGGTTGAAATTAGATGGTAAACATCAAAATGTACTTTAACAAACCCCTCCATTACGGCCAATATATACGGACCCCTTAATCGAAGGTCCTATACACACTCCTTTTGTGAAGATCCAGTTTACACAACTGTATAAATATATTCCTTTTGTCGTGTCCCTGTATTAACATATTCCTTTTGTCGTGTCCCGGTATAAACATATTCCTTTTGTCGTGTCCCTGTATAAACATATTCCTTTTGTCGTGTCCCTGTATAAACATATTCCTTTTGTCGTGTCCCTGTATAAACATATTCCTTTTGTCGTGTCCCTGTATAAACATGTTCCTTTTGTCGTGTCCCTGTATAAACATGTTCCTTTTGTTGTGTCCCTGTATAAACATATTCCTTTTGTTGTGTCCCTGTATAAACATATTCCTTTTGTTGTGTCCCTGTATAAACATATTCCTTTTGTTGTGTCCCTGTATAAACATATTCCTTTTGTTGTGTCCCTATATAAACATATTCCTTTTGTTGTGTCCCTGTATAAACAAACATACTCCTTTTGTTTGTGTCCCTGTATAAACATATTCCTTTTGTTGTGTCCCTGTATAAACATATTCCTTTTGTTGTGTCCCTGTATAAACATACTCCTTTTGATGTGTCCCTGTATAAACATATTCCTTTTGTTGTGACCCTGTATAAATATATTCCTTTTGTTGTGTCCCTGTATAAACATATTCCTTTTGTTGTGACCCTGTATAAACATACTCCTTTTGTTGAGCCCAGAATACATAGCCCCTCTTGTTTTGCCCTTGTATACACTCCCCTACTGCGGATATCACTCCCCCACCCCATCCCCTCCATCCCCGTATAAACACTTTACATACTGATGAGTCCCTCCTTTTACGTCCCTGCTCCGGAACCCCGGTAAATACAGACCGCACCTGTTGAACCCTTGTATGGAAGCCCCATCCTTAGCCCCATACAGCATACGTCAAAAAGGCCTTGTGGACACACGCCTCCTCTGAAGCCCCCGTACATTGTATATGCATATCTGCCCTGTACGACCCTAACATACCTATCGTTCTTTCAGAACCTTTGTATATAGATGTATATAAACCCTAATATATATACTGTCCTGTTGAGTCCTGAATACACAACTCTCTTACCAAGCCCCGTTTATACATTAAGCCCTCCTGTTGTAAACATACCCCTTCTGCGACAGAAGAATATCACTGTGCTGGTCACTGTTATGAGCATAACGATGGGCACCACTATGACAGTGGCAATTTGTAGGCGATCCATGCCAGTAGGCTTCGTAAAATCAAATCTCTTTTGTGGCATAACTGTAAGAAAAAAATAGCTAAGTTCAAGGCAGTATAATATCACCTAGCTGACTATACACAATGAGTAATGAAACTGTCAGTGTTGACATCTCTTGCGAAAAGCTCTGTGTCTGGAAGGCAAATAGATACATTGAATTGGCTACACGTGTATAAGACCTTTCATTTCCCTAGAATCTTACAGATAAGTAAAACCGAAATCTGTATTATAACTAATATCGACACGACCCCATCTTAAAGTCTGGACATCGCCTCGCGATAATTGAAGACTTGGGATAATGAAGTATATATTCCTAGAATTTCATGGCCACAACTTTGTTTTTCTTTGCCAAGTCAACTTGATTTGTTAAAGAATCTTGTATATCAAGGTTGCTCTCTTGTAGTGACATGTAAGTGACAACAGTGTGCACAATCACAAAACTTTGGTCTGTTTCAGTGTCGGCGTCTTTTAAGTGTTGTTTCATTCGCGATTGATGCCAAATTCCAATTGATTTTGTTCAAATCTATCTACATAAACCCTGATATTTTCACTTCATTTGATTTCACTCTAACAGTAGCTACGAAATTCATTACATGTGGAAAGAAGCTCCAAAGAAATTGTTATATCAAACATGTGCTTCAATTTCATATTAGATCTAACAAACGAATCTCTGAATGTTTCTTTAATGAGGAACGTTTAAGTATAACAGAGTTCCTGTGACAGTGGATTTCCACATAAATCCAATCATCCTTGTAATTGTATAAAGACAAACAAGAAAATAGTACCTTCAGACATATTATACAATCAGATAAAGTAAAACATGAACTGTATGATTCAGCGATAGGTATCGTTATAACTCGGGTCATGTTCACAAAACGAGAAAACATCAACACAACGACGACACCATTTAAATCTAGGTTAATTCAGATAATACGCTATGAAAAATAAAAGCTGGAGTAGTGACCAGGATTTAAATATGGAACTCTCTTAAACAAGAATTGTCATTAGTACCATAATTAAGTATTTTAAAATCTAAATTGAATAATGATAGAATACACGTTATAAATGTATCTCCTATTTTCCAGCACTGTAGTTCTAGAAAATTAAATATTGTCCATTGCCAACTTAGAAATGATGCCAGTTATTTAACTTATGCTATGTTTCTTAATTTTCTCTATCTCGACTCGTCTTGTTCTTGTAGTCATCCTACTGAAAATTCAGAACACTTTTTTTTTCTTCTGTCCAGATTATTCCACTTCCAGAAACTCAATCCCTAATATCTATACCAGAACTGGCTATCTAGATGTTCAATAACTGACATCTGGGAATATTAATTTCTCCCTTGAAATCAATGCTTTTATTCTATATAATGTGGAAAGCATTATTGTAGAAACGTTTAGGATGTCAATCTATATACTTGTTACATTTGTGACTTTACATCTAATGTTCTTAGAGTAATTATCTAATTAGATACCGTTTATACTTCAAAACCTATTATCAAATTTTCATTAAAAATAAATATGAATTATATCGATAGTTGCTAGTACCTAGATTGTGTATTGGTATGAATGGGTAACGATAATACAGCGTATGGTTCAAGTACAGATGTACTTAATGTGTTTTCGAAAGTTTTCCTCTTTCAGAATTCCTTAAATAGCTCTCACCACCTTGGAGAAGATTTACATAGGCTTAGTCTCTGATAGGATCCCTTTATATATATTGTTGATATATATGATAATAAAAGTTGTTGAAATGGAATCATTTTACCAAACATGAAACATTTTGACCCGTATATAGTACGGGGTATAAAAGTACTTTGTAATGGACTGATGAACACCATTCTGTCTTTATAGATATGCGTCTCTAGAAAATGGCAGTGAACAACAGATTTGGAGAAGCACGGTTACCATTATAAAAAATGGAAATTCATGACGAAGAAATTAAAATTGATCATTAATATGTTTTTTGGTTACGTTGGTAGTAGAGATCAGATAAGGACGCTGAATACAGGTGTTGTCATTGTGCCTGATGTCAAATTTAATGACAAGACCGACATAGTGAAATGGATTTGAAAACCAGCCGTCATCGACACGCCTCAAAACATTAAATTTATGGAGCTTTTTGAAAGTATATCCCCTTCAGCCTGCTACAACATCAGAATTTCGTTACAAAGACGTTTTAGCTGGCTTGGTATGTTTGTGTGACAACATTTTTCGATTACATAGTTCTTACATGTTTTCCATTAACATCACCGAGCCTACCAACAGACGTAGAGAAATCAAATTGTCACCTGGTATATTGAACGGCTTCGACTCCAAGAAGTGGTCCCCAATATACTGTTCACGAATATCGACAGGCCTCAACTGTAACAAAACAACAGCTTTCATTTCCAATAATTCTGTACACCTTAATAGATCGTAAGTTTTTCATCTGAGTCTATAAAGATGGAGTATCAATCATAATGACTTACTCAAACAGTTTGTGGTCATTGCTACTTACCCAGACAGTTAAGTTGTCGTTACTACTTACCCAGACAGTTAAGTTGTCGTTACTACTTACCCAGACAGTTAAGTTGTCGTTACTACTTACCCAGACAGTTAAGTTGTCGTTACTACTTACCCAGACAGTTTAGTTGTCGTTACTACTTACCCAGACAGTTTAGTTGTCGTTACTACTTACCCAGACAGTTTAGTTGTCGTTACTACTTACCCAGACAGTTAAGTTGTCGTTACTACTTACCCAGACAGTTTAGTTGTCGTTACTACTTACCCAGACAGTTTAGTTGTCGTTACTACTTACCCAGACAGTTTAGTTGTCGTTACTACTTACCCAGACAGTTTAGTTGTCGTTACTACTTACCCAGACAGTTTAGTTGTCGTTACTACTTACCCAGACAGTTTAGTTGTCGTTACTACTTACCCAGACAGTTTAGTTGTCGTTACTACTTACCCAGACAGTTTAGTTGTCGTTACTACTTACCCAGACAGTTTAGTTGTCGTTACTACTTACCCAGACAGTTTAGTTGTCGTTACTACTTACCCAGACAGTTTAGTTGTCGTTACTACTTACCCAGACAGTTTAGTTGTCGTTACTACTTACCCAGACAGTTAAGTTGTCGTTACTACTTACCCAGACAGTTTAGTTGTCGTTACTACTTACCCAGACAGTTTAGTTGTCGTTACTACTTACCCAGACAGTTAAGTTGTCGTTACTACTTACCCAGACAGTTTAGTTGTCGTTACTACTTACCCAGACAGTTTAGTTGTCGTTACTACTTACCCAGACAGTTTAGTTGTCGTTACTACTTACCCAGACAGTTTAGTTGTCGTTACTACTTACCCAGACAGTTTAGTTGTCGTTACTACTTACCCAGACAGTTTAGTTGTCGTTACTACTTACCCAGACAGTTAAGTTGTCGTTACTACTTACCCAGACAGTTAAGTTGTCGTTACTACTTACCCAGACAGTTTAGTTGTCGTTACTACTTACCCAGACAGTTTAGTTGTCGTTACTACTTACCCAGACAGTTTAGTTGTCGTTACTTACCCAGACAGTTAAGTTGTCGTTACTACTTACCCAGACAGTTTAGTTGTCGTTACTACTTACCCAGACAGTTTAGTTGTCGTTACTACTTACCCAGACAGTTACCTACTTACCCAGACAGTTTAGTTGTCGTTACTACTTACCCAGACAGTTTAGTTGTCGTTACTACTTACCCAGACAGTTTAGTTGTCGTTACTACTTACCCAGACAGTTTAGTTGTCGTTACTACTTACCCAGACAGTTTAGTTGTCGTTACTACTTACCCAGACAGTTTAGTTGTCGTTACTACTTACCCAGACAGTTTAGTTGTCGTTACTACTTACCCAGACAGTTTAGTTGTCGTTACTACTTACCCAGACAGTTTAGTTGTCGTTACTACTTACCCAGACAGTTAAGTTGTCGTTACTACTTACCCAGACAGTTTAGTTGTCGTTACTACTTACCCAGACAGTTTAGTTGTCGTTACTACTTACCCAGACAGTTTAGTTGTCGTTACTACTTACCCAGACAGTTTAGTTGTCGTTACTACTTACCCAGACAGTTAAGTTGTCGTTACTACTTACCCAGACAGTTTAGTTGTCGTTACTACTTACCCAGACAGTTTAGTTGTCGTTACTACTTACCCAGACAGTTTAGTTGTCGTTACTACTTACCCAGACAGTTAGTTGTCGTTACTACTTACCCAGACAGTTTAGTTGTCGTTACTACTTACCCAGACAGTTTAGTTGTCGTTACTACTTACCCAGACAGTTTAGTTGTCGTTACTACTTACCCAGACAGTTTAGTTGTCGTTACTACTTACCCAGACAGTTTAGTTGTCGTTACTACTTACCCAGACAGTTTAGTTGTCGTTACTACTTACCCAGACAGTTTAGTTGTCGTTACTACTTACCCAGACAGTTTAGTTGTCGTTACTACTTACCCAGACAGTTTAGTTGTCGTTACTACTTACCCAGACAGTTTAGTTGTCGTTACTACTTACCCAGACAGTTTAGTTGTCGTTACTACTTACCCAGACAGTTAAGTTGTCGTTACTACTTACCCAGACAGTTTAGTTGTCGTTACTACTTACCCAGACAGTTAAGTTGTCGTTACTACTTACCCAGACAGTTTAGTTGTCGTTACTACTTACCCAGACAGTTTAGTTGTCATTACTACTTACCCAAACAGTTTAGTTGTCGTTACTACTTATTTAGATTACGACCTACCGAGATGGGTTGGTTGTCATTACGACTTACCCAGATAGTGTAGTTGTCAAAACCACTTACCCAGATAGTGTAGTTGTCATTACGTCTTACCCAGATAGTGTAGTTGTCAAAACCACTTACCCAATTAGTGTAGTTGTCATTACGACTTACCCAGATAGTGTAGTTGTCATTTCGACTTACCCAGATAGTGTAGTTGTCAAAACCACTTACCCAGATAGTGTAGTTGTCATT